TCTGTGCTCATTTTCATGCCAGGGCAAACCCCATTCTGTGCTCAAATTATTTGGGGTCACGGAGGTCGAGGGATCACGCACTGCAAGCCAGAGTGAGTCACTGCAAGTGAGTCACTCCGAGCTGACCACATGGGTAAGTGTATCACAGAAATGCAGAAGAACCTCTCCCTGGGAAAGGGAAAAAACAACAAAAAAGTGGTTACTCAGGTGAGTGCTTTGAGAAGTACCTGCCTAGTCCGCAAGCCCTGAGAGAGGTGGGACAAAATTGTTGAGCAGTGAAAGCACCAGCCAGCATTACAGCAAAAGGCCTCATTAAGAGAGAGCGAGTCAGTCTTTTCTTGTGGGCAACACCTGTGTAACTTTAGGGTAATGGGAAATCCCTCGGTAGATTTTGATGCACCAGCCCCCAAAATCCAGCTCTGAAGCTCTCTGTAATGAGTGTGCAGGATCCTACCAGGCCCTCACATGCAGCATCAAAGCAATGCAGCTGGTTTTATTACAGATGTTTATGAAAACTATCACAAAAGTGGCATGCCACTGCCAGCTGGACTTTTGCCAAAGGAAGCTCTGCTTAATTAGGTCAAGAATTATTTGGTTAGTGGCACAGACACTATTATATATAGTTTTCAGTGTCCACACAGGAGTTCTCATTAGCGGACACAGGGAAAAGGGATGGAAGAGAATGAAAAAAGTCACCAAACTCCTGGGAGAGGCAGCCAAGTTGATTCAGTAGTATTTATAAAGCCAAGACTGACACTTAAACCATTAAACATTTCATTGTTTAAGCTGAAGAAAAAATCCTCAGAGTTTTTGCAAGAGGGCTTATTCTTGTCCAAATAAGCAAGGACATCCCTTCCATCAGAGCATTACATTGGGAAGAAGGAGAACAGAGCAGACATCGCCTCAGGCTAACTTCACACTCCACACCTTAGGGTGGGCCACAGGGGAGTCTCCTTTGGTCTCCAACTTCCTGGGAGTGAAAGCCAAGAGGCAGATGGAGTTGCTCAGAGATGTCTGACTCACTGCAAAGGCTGCCGGACAGAACAAGCAAAATCAGATATCACTGTGCAAGCATTGTGAGGTGGGTTCAGGTGATCCTGCTGTAAATCACAGTCGGCATTTGAAAGGGTCAGAATCAATTATGTCTGCATCAGTGCAAAAGGACAGCCAATCCAAACTGCACAGGATTTGCCAAAGCATGCAAGGAACTCAGGAAGAGAGTTAAGTCTATTTGGTCCCACCACCCCAAAGTAAGAGAGATGGTCTTAGGAATAGGGGACCCCTGTGTCTCTCTCAGAAGATGAGTGGCACAATGACTGGATGCCAAATACAAGCTTTTGGTAACGCAAGGTTGAAGGTCCAGGCTGCTTCTTCTGCAGACTTGTTCTTACACTCTGTATTGGTTTAATGATTGGGCAGATTGCTCTTTTGTTACTGCATAGAGTTAGAAAGAGGAGGATATGTTGTGAACCATGGATAATAGAGTCACTGGCCAGAGGAACTTCAAAAGGGAAGAAGCTCCAGGCTAGCAAGAAACTTTGCAAATCTGTCTCTTCTATGCAGTCTCCAAATAGACCACCAGCCACACTGTTCTAACCTCCTCCTGTTGGGACAAACAAGTCTTCCTCTTCCATCTCCAGGTTTTAGCTCACTGATCAAAACTTCTCATTGCCACCTCAGCATTCTGAGGCCTCTTCCATGGAAAAAAAACTGACATTGAAGGGAAATGTCAGTGACTGTACTTCAATCTCTTCCCAGACACCATCCCTTGTTTTGGGTGTATCTCCTACCTCACTCCAAGAAGTTTCTGGGGCAGACTGAATCTGAATGCATTTAACTTAATGTATTTAACATGCTGTAGCTGCCCCTCCTGTCCAGAGGCAGCCTCTTTCCTCTCTTTTCTCTTCAGCAATCACCACACAAATTCAGGCTTTCACCCCAAACCTTGCCTACAAATTATAGCTGAGAAGTGAAACGCATGAGAGCTCTGTGGGTTTCCTGTTCTTATAAGCCCCCTTTAGTCAGCTGAGCTAAAGGATAGGGGAAGAAAGTATTTTCTTTCTGTCACAAAGACAACAACAGAGAAAATGACAATCATCAGCAGGGAAGCCAACTACCTGAAGCCAACTAGGGACAGCACCCATTAGCAGTGAGCTGTCAACTCCACCAACCCAGGAGGCAGACAGCCTGGACACTTAAAGCAATCTCAATATTTGCACCTACTCTAACCTGACACTGTGTATTAGGGAATATGCTCCTCTTCTTCATCCCGAGGCATCAGGCTGTAATATCCTCAAACAAGTTTATCAATAGATGAAGTCACTGAGATGTGATGAGTGAGCCTGTCCAGCTTGATGTCACAGGTACACTCCAGCCCTCATTAAGGAACTCGAAGCAGAATCAGCTTTTTCTAACCCTACCCTCCTTGGTCACAGTCCATTAATAAACCATTTAAGGACACACAGCACCAGGCCTCAGGAGAAGCTCCGCAGGCTGCACCGCTGCTGCAAGGTGAGGACACACAGTGACAGCGGCCACATCCTCACACACTACTGTTGGAAGGTCCAACACCTGGAAAAGGCAGGCAGGCAGCTCCTGCTGCTGCGTGATGCTCACGTTCACTGGAGGAGAAGGGACGATGGCTTCTGCTGCTGAACACAGGGAAGAATGGTGGCGGTTGCCCAAAAGCAACAGTTGCCATCCCTGCTCCTCTCTTGCCTCTGGTGGTCGCGGAAGCAGTGGGCTGGATTCCTCCTGCGGCTGTGTTTCCCCTCTTCCCATGGCAGGACACAGTTCAAACCAGCCCCTTTTCCCTGGGGAGGCTGAGTTCAATTGGGCTACGCTGCTGGAAGCCCTTGATCCAGTTCTGGGAAATCCCCACAGCTCCACTGTACTGGGCAGAGGCAACCAACTCCTATGATCCCCTGAGCTCCGGGCTGCCAAGAAACTCCTCTCCATACAAGTCTCATCTGGCTTTTCAGCATGGAGCTCTTTTGACTGAAACCGCAATACTTAACATGCTTCAATGATCAAGCAGAGGGCACGGGAATGTCACTGAAAACACTTGGCTTCCAAACGCTGCATTGTTCTTCCCTTACCCCATTCACAGATCCCAACCAGAACATCCCAATCAAGCTCTAAATGTTTTCTAGCAAATCCAACAAGGAGCACCAAGCGCTATTTGATCTACCGAACACACACGTGCACCCACGCTGGCACAAAACCCATCCGCTCCACAACTCCACCAGTGCCCTGCCTCTGCCCCCAGGAGCAGCCTTATGGAAGTGTTTCCTCCCTCCTCCATGCTGCCAGGGTCCACCAGACACAGCCCTGGCCAAACTGGCCCCTGCTCCACCAAAATCTGCCAAAAAGGCTGACCGTGCCCAGCACGCATTTCCCAATTCCCAGTGACAACAATGCAGCTCAATGTCACCATCTGTCCACCAGGCCTGGGTGACGTTTTTAGCCTCATGCTCTGCTGGCCCTACCCTAGCACCAAAGACCTCTGTCCCAAGACCCATTCCAAAAGTCTCATCTCCAATGTTCTGATTTTATCAAGTTCAAGACATGGCAGGGAGAAGCACATGGTGGCCATGGCTCATCTGAGGAAAAGGCAGTGTGGTAGGAGTCATTCCTAGGAAGGCTGCATTAGTAATTTAAGAGAGAGGGAAAGAAAGCAAGCTAATTAAAGACGTGATAAAATCTCAACAGTTTTAGCCACATTGAATATCCAATTAGGTCTATGAAGCCTTTGGGCCACAGCTGTGGGAAGGGATTCTGGGTCTGGCAGAGATGGACCAACACCCACTGAGAGCCTCTGGAGCAGCCAAGAAACACCAGTTATGGCTCTTTTTTGGTTACTCCTTCCCCAGGCAGCCCTGGGACAGCAGGGCCCAGTGCCTGCAGCCTTGGCTACATCCCTCATCCATCCAGCTGCTCTGCGGGCATGCAGTGCCCCTCAGCCGTGTGGCCAGTGTGCTCCTACAGCTCCCAGAAGCTGTAAAAATTCCTAAAAACTGCCTCTTTTTTTTTTTCTTAAATAACATTTGCACACACATTGGGCTGCATTGCTTATAGCAAACACTTCAACATGAGCTGGCACACGCAGAGAAAGAAAACCAAGACAACTGAATGGACTGAAAGGCAACAAGAATTCCAGCCCTGACTGTTTGCTGGGGTGATAAAATCCATCCCGCGGTGTGCTTTTGCAGGATGGTTGTTGCCGGCCTCATTTTTGCCATCCTTGGCGGGATGCGCAAAGACCAACCCGCAGCGCTGAAGCCGCTTTTAACTCCAGAAAAAAAAAAAGGGTGACTTGCGGGAGGGCGCTTCTTTCAAAGCAGCATTTCTTGCCGCAAACCTCCAGCAGCATTTTAGGCTGCCAGAAACCCTGTTGAGAGAGGTAGAAAAACGGGAGCACGAAGGCACGGGCAGAGGCTGCGGGGCCGGTCCTGGGGACCCCCGGGCAAGAGGGAGGACACCCTCACCCCCCCTAAACACGTCCTCTTGGGGGGAGAAGCCCCCGCCGGAGGTGCCCGGACTCCCGGGCACCAGGGGGGCTGCCCCGGGTGCGGGGCCACCGGGGAGCGCTCCCGCCTCTCTCCCCGGAGCGGCGCCGGGGGAAGGGGGAGACGGCCGCGCACCCCCGGGATTTTCCCACAGCGGAACGGGAAGGGAGGGCTTTTAACAGCATTACTACTATTATTATTATGAATTATTATTATTTTTAGCGAGAAGGAAGGAAGCTCGGCGGGAGCAACGCCGCTGCAAGAGAGGAAATCTGGGAATGCAATGCGAGGGAAGCGCCGGCTGCCGGAGGGGCGGGGGGAGGCCGGGCGGGGAGGGGGCACAGCGCAGGTATCCCGGCGGCAGGAAGCGGGGGCGGGCCGCGGGGCAGGGCGTGCCGGCCGGGCCGGGCTGGGGCCGGGGAGCCGGGCTGAGCCGAGCCCAGCAGAGCCGAGGGGAGGGGAGCGGGGCGGAGGCGGGGCCGGCTGGGGGGTGGCCGTAAGGTGAAGGTTGTTGCAGTGGGTTCATTAAAAGACAGGGTTCAACTCTTCGCCCTCGCAGAACGCTGCTGGGAGGCTAGTTCCGTGGCGTGCGAGGGGAGAAAAGGGGAAAAGAAAAGAGGAAAAAAAAAAAAAAAGAAGCCAGGAAAGGGAGCAAAGCCGCAGCTACTTAAAACAATCTTAAGAGGAGCGGGGCAAGGAACGGAGACGGCGGGAAGTACGGGCAGGCTGCAAGCTCCCGAGGCCCAGCGAGGAGGAAGGATGATAAACGTGGTGTCCGTGTGGCTGGTGGCCCTTTGCTTCCAGGCTGCTGTCCCGGTGAGCCGAGCGGAGCGGAGCACGTGGGGCGGCGGGGCCCGGGCGGCGTGCGGGGCCGGGGCCGGGGCGGCAGGGCAGGGGGGTCGGGTTGGGCTTCGCTGCCCTGGGGGGACCGCCCGGCTCCCCCCTTCCGACGGGTCCCCCGCAGGGGAGCGGAGCGGTGGCCAGCCCATCCCGGCATGGAGGGCTGCGGTGGCCTTTGTGCTGGCGGCGGGCTCCAGCCCGGCTGCCCCGGCAGCCTTAATTCAAACCAGACCCGCCGCGGCGGCTCCTGACCTGCCGGCGGCTCCGCCCCGGGGCGCCGCGGGCCGGGCGGGCGGCTCTGCCCGGCTCCCCCCACCGGGACCGGGGACCCCTCGAGGCGCCCCTGGAGGGGCCGGGGGTCGGCAGGATGCTCCCGCCGTCCCTCCGGCGTGTTGCGCCCCGGAGACGGCGAGTGGCCAGTCCGGGTGAGCGTTGGCATGTGGCCCTTTGTGGTTCGGCCGTGGCCGAAGTCACGGGTGGTTCCTAAAGCGGGGACGCTCCTGCCGTGCCCCGGCACAGCCCAGGGGAGCGCGGGCCGGCGGCTCCCGGCCGCCTTTGTGCCCGGGAGCCCCAGCCCAGTGGAGGGAACGCGCGGGGTCGATAATTTCTGCCCACTCAAACAAAGGTCCCGGTGCCGGGCTCGGAGCCAGCCCCGCTCCCCGGAGCTCGGTAACCCCGCGGCAGCGAGGCCTGTGTTGTCCCGGCCCCGGTGTCCCGGGAGCAGCTCTGGGAGCCCGGGCGAGCCTTGAGCCGTGGGGAGCGCTGGTCCCGCAGCAGCAGCCGCCAGGTGTCATCCACGGACAGGGGATGGCTCTGCTCTTGCTCCAGCCTCGCCTGCGAGCGGCTTTCCGCGGAAACCTGGCACCACCGCGCTGTGAAGTGCTGTGCTCGGTGCTCCAGGTCGGTAGGGTCAGCGGGTGCGGGGCAGGAGGCCTTGTGGCCGTCCCTTGACGGGCACAAAGGCTCAATCCCATCCCTTTCTCCTGAGGTAGCTCCCCGTTTCCCATGAACGCCCCGCCAGACCTGAGTGCGCACCGGTTATGGAGTCTTCTCCTTTGGATGGAATAGGAGGAAAAAGTGTGAGCAGGCTGGTACATCAGAGTCAAAACTGGCGGTTTTGGTATTTTTTCTTAAATGGAGTAATTGATTTGAAACTTGTCTGGGGATAAATTGCAGCAGCAGTCAGATATGGAGTGGCAGAACAAAATGCACAGGGGATCTAAGCTGCCCGAAATACCTCCAGTTTCACTGTACTGTTCTGTTTGTGAACCCAACCTGTAGTTATGGGCGTGTACCCTTCTGGCCCACATGGCAGTGAGTCGTTATGACATGGCTAAAAATGACAAACATGTGAGCATAGTCAGCACTGTTCCATGGGGAGAGGGCTCTGCTCACAGCTTCTGAATAAAGTGGAAAAACTGTAGTTAATTTACAGTCTCTTTAGTGCATTTGGACAAAATCCCCCCTGTGATAAATACTCCTTACTAGGAATGATAAGGTCATGAAGTTAATGCTTGTCTGGAGTTTTCCTGTGTGTCAGAGACACTTGGGCCTGGGTGACACTGCGATGGAGGGGTTTCTGGGGTGAGCACATGGAGGAGCAGAAGTCCTTGGGGCTCTCTGTGGTGACTCAGCACTGAGGTTTTTTCCCTTCTGGTGATCATGTGGCTTTTTTCCCCATGTCGAAATGTCAGGGACATGGACTAAGCTGCCTTTCCCACCCATCTGGAATAATTATACTTTTGCATCAAGTGGCTGAAAACCTCTTGTTTTGAGCACAGAAGCAGAGTGACCCTACACAATCCTTTGAGTCTGCCATATTGCAGTGTTATGGGTGCTGCCATGGTTGTGTTGGGTTCTTGGTGGTCTGATCCTTGGGAAGGGTGCCACTGCTGCTGACACATCTCTTGGCACTTGGCTGTTGCTGCATAACTTGACTTGTCCATGCATATTGTCATAGAAATAATAAACAGGAACAATAAAGTGACCAAACAATAGTTGTTTTTTTCCTGAGTACTCTTACCTGCAGAAATGATTAGGGAGGTTCCTGGTCTTCTTCAAGGTGACACTTTACTCTCCTAAACTGTGTTTTTAGGCAGTAATTACCCTCAGTTATGATGGGTGCATGGATTTCCTTGAAATAAGAAGGCTGATACATTTTAACAGACTAACCTAGTTATTGTCTCAAAGAGAAACTGTTACATGGTATAACCCTGCCACCAAGCCAACTGAGCCAAGATGCACATCCTACTACAGGAGGACAATCTAGCCTGTATCGTGAGGGGAGACGGGGTTTGATTGTTTTGTCTGGTGTAGGTGTATGCTGGTGGTTGACATAAGCTTAGGAGAGCAGGCTGAACCTTTTTCCAAGGGTGATGTCATTGCTATTTGAATATAAACTAATTAGAAGAAATTAGGTAGTCCACCTTAATTATTAAACATGTAGGCAGTGGATAAGGAGGAAACACTTTCTTCTATAGTACATACAGAGCAGTGTCACAATATTTATTGAGCACTATAAACAGAGCTTCTTCATCTAAACACTTGCTGGTGGCCACTTCACAGTGAAATGGTGACTCTGTTATCTGGTTAGCTCTGATTAGAGCAGCAACAAATAGGCTGGGTTTTGTGTCTTGTAAGGGGGCTCTGGTGCAAATTTGTAGTCTTTGTTCCAGGTTTCTCTCAAGTGGTGAGAAGAGCTAACATTTCTAATGGCAGCACTCTGAAACTTCTGGAAACCAAACAATCCTCTCCTAACAACTCGAGACAAGTCACAGCAAGTGCAGGAAACCTGTAAGCCTTCTAAAAGTAAACTACTGCACAAACCTGAAATGTAGGCTGCTGTTTTAGCAGCAAAATTGGTCCATTTTAAATATGTGTTTTGCATTCCTAGTGCTTAGATGTCTCCAGGTGGCCTATATACTAACATTTCTTCCTAACCTTGCTTGAAGTGATTAATGTGTCCAAGAATCGTACTAATGCCTCTGAGAGGGACATGCCACACTTATTTCTGGCGTCTAGGGAGCTGGGATTTCAGTAGGGCCTCCCACAGGGAGGAGAGAACTCATTGGCAGAGAGAAGGTAGGACCCCTTTCCTGAGGAGGTGCTGTCAATTATAGAATTGCAGTGCTTCAGCATTGCAGCGTTAGTATTTTTGTCTTAATAGCTCTGAGATAATCAAAAGTAGGAGGTGTCTAATACAGCACTCCAGGACAGCTGGAGATTGATGCATTCGCTGTGTGCAAATGGCATTACTCCCTCGGGACAGCGTTCAACTGATGTTAAGGCACTTAAATGTAGGTGTCTGTGTGTGCTGGGTATTTAAGCCCTCATTAGAGTCATGGTGATGTAATCAGTGGAGCCAAAGAGAGTGATTATCTGACCAGCCCCTACACATCAATTCCAAGGTGAGTTGCTTTGTCAGGGCTTTGTTGACTAGATCTCTTGTTGCCTATAAGGGGAGCATAGACACCTTTAATTTAGTGCTTTTGTCCGAGAGAAATTTAGCTCAAAGGGATAGACTTTTATTTGTGAAACTTTCATTGTAACTCTCTCCACAAACAAGTAGACTGGACAGGTGCTGTTTGTGCCAAGAGAACTAGCAAAACAGTGGGGAACATCAGCTTTCAGCTAGAACAGCAGCTCTTTCCTGTTCTAGTGCAACTGGAACAGTGCCTCCAAACAATACTGTAGTCCTGCACTGCTAAAGGCTGTGGAAGAAATTGGGGAGTATAGTTGGGTCCTCTCTCAGTGTTCTGAAGTGAGCAGAATATATATGAGTGGAAACATAAGTGGATGTGTTTTTGAGGGATGGTTGTGAGCTGTTGAGGGCGCATCAGTATTTAAAGACACTATTTCTATATTATTTGTGAATTAGAAGTGAGAAACCTTTGTTACTCCTAGACTCCTGATATAGGCAGTGAACTTACAATGTGGAAGTTGTTTTGACCAACAGCGCAAGTACTTATAGGTTTACTTCTGAGCTGAGAAGATATTCTTCCATGCAGAAAGCGTGTGGTGTGTCCTTTGGAGTGCTGAGTGTCAGTTTTGTTAACAGGTCTCTAAGTTAGAGCCGACAAACATACTTCATTTGAACTGCTGCTCTGCTGGCTACTGGTGTACCACAGCAATGAGCCTTATCTGGCCTGGCTAGAAACCCAGGATAGTGCACTTTCTACTGTGGAGATGCTAGTGGAAAAGTTACTGTACTGTGAAGCCTCACCTCAAGGTGAGATAACATTTGGACCTCCTACAAGCAACCCTTGTGGGGCAACATCTGCTAATGTGGTGGTTTCCCAACCTCTCCATTTCTCAAGCAGTGCTTGGCTGCAGTCGATGTTCTGGGTCTTGTGGAACCGGCATGGATCCAACGGAGTCTGTTAGCTTGGGCTCCTTGCCATGCTTGACTGTAATGTTGTATCTCACTGCTGAGACCAGTCTCACCAGTGGGGCTTGCTTTGCTGGATGGGAATCAGTATGTTAGTGGGATTTGGATGGAGTTGGCAGTAGAACTTCCTGTTGAGTCACTGGAGTTGCAGTTACAACTGAGTCATGGAGGTGGTGTAAGTCATGGCTTTCCCTGCTAGACTTCTAGTTTGAAACTCCTTTGGGTATTGATCAGTTAAAGAGCTCTTACTGCTTTACTTCTGTGTCTTGCTGCTGTGCTCTCTGGCAGAACTATCTTCTCCATAGCCCTTGTTTTTGTAACATGGTTCTCTTTCATGTCCACTCATTTTGCCTCTTAGTGTTCAGGCTTTTCTAATGAGTGAAAGGCCTTCAGGATTGCTATTGCAGAATGACTCCAAACTAAATCAAGGGTACTGATATAACAGATAGGGAACTGCCTGCCAACCAGCTTAAAATACTCACGGATGTCTTGCCTTGCATGGAGGCTCTGTATTCTTTTCATGCTCTACTGTGTAACTTTTCTGCACTATCTGTGCAGTAATGTCAGTGTCTTGATTGTCAGTAGTGGA